CTCATGTGTGTGTTCGACATTATGTCTGTTGCAAAGTTTGGTAAACATTTAAAGTATGTTGTTGCTTTCTTTCAAACCCACAATTACAGTTCACTTTACCAAAGGCCAGAGCACTTGGCTCATCCTTGTGCCAACTCAACTCAGACATACCGCGCAGCGCAGCTAACTCCCTAGATGGGCCTTCCACCCCCAAATTTTCCACTTAAGCAAATTAATGATCAGGAAAGATGGGATACACCCAGAAGACAGAAAACCACTTATTCAGCAAGTCAAAAATGGATATGCTGGCACTGAAACTTATAGTTGAAAGTGAAATGCATCCTGCAAAGAACCATGGATTTCAGCTGCCTGCTAACTGCAGTAAATATTTCAGGGCTGTCCCTAAGATGATTTTTACTGAGGACAAATAGTACCTTCTTGTTACAAGCAGAGGCTGGCTTGATAGGGAATAGACAATTCTTTTATCCTTCTAACAGATTTATTCCCTTATGTTCAATATTTCTCAGAAAGGATGTCACTTCCACAGAGAATTCTGCTGCTCTACATTTTAAGAGCTCAAATGTTCCAGTGAAGCCCAACTTCAATTTCAGAAGTTGATGAAGAGAGTGGAAAGAGAAAAGGGAAAGCAAAAAATACATCTGGTGGTTTAGAATGCTAACACCCTTCAGACTAAAAGACAGCAGCAACTAGAAACCCAGAAGCACAGTGTTCAAGCCAACAGTCATCTTGCATACCTTATGGCAGTAGGTGTGTTTCTGCTTTGCATGCCTATCTTTTCACATGCAAAAGACAACATCTGAAATGTAGGTAACTTGAGAGCTTGCCCTGTAGCCTGAAGTATCCTCCCATAAACTTAACCAACAAAAATAATAATTAACATAGGTGTTTCATAATCATTCCAAAATATTTTCCTAGTAAGAAGGTAAGTGAGGATTGTTTTACCATTCAATAGAAAAAGACAACTGTTTAACGTGGGTGTGTGCCAATATATGAAACCTATTTTAAATGAACATTTTTGCAGTGGTCTGGAGGATCATGAGCCTAAATGTTGAACACTGCAAATTCACTCTGCACTGAAGCACTCCGCAGCCCTGCTCAGAAGAAATAGAGGAAAGGAAGTAAAGATGAAAATGACTTAAGCACATTAACACTTATAATTCTGCACTATTCAAAAAGTTTGGAATGTCCCAAATTAAACTTCGGGCAGAGACAGACTTAGCTGCACCCTTACTAATGTACAGGCTGCCTCAGAAGCCAGCAGCACAGACACAATGTGCAAAGCCACCCCTGCACACTCACGGTGCCCAGGCCCAGTACGAACGAGCCCAGGAGGGATGCTTCCTCTGCAGTCTCAGGGGACATTTCTTCCAATGGCAACCAGACCTGCTGAAGTCTTTTTTTACTTAAAAGGATTTGGACAAAACCAAGCATTTCAAACCACAATTTCCACTTCACATAAAACAGGGGAAAAACCTGGCTCTCCAGTAAAATAATTAAGGAGTTAATCTCTGTATAGGAAAACCAAATTTTACCTGTTTGAGGCAGGGCGACACACATAATAAAGTGTAGGTACCCAGATCAAGCCTTTATGAATTCTCCTCCAGCCCACACTAGAATATTTGATAATGCACACAAATATCCTTATATCCAAATATCCTTACATATGCCATGAGGAATTAAGTAACAACACAACCTTGCAACTGAAATTAGTGTTAATGCACGTATAGGCTTCTGTTGGGGGGAGAAAAAAACAAAACCAAACCCAAGTTGCTACAAATCTATAAAACCAAAAGAGAGATTGATGTTAATTCCTAATAAATGTAAAGCCTTACCCTGTATGATGCTACGGTTTGCAGACAACTGGCACAAGACAATATTTAACCTTGGCCTACAAGCAAGCATGACTTCATTAGTACAGATTTAAGCTGGAGGGGTAAGTGGAAGCTTTACAGGACTCCCAAGGAAGTCATGCACTTGTGAGATGTACACTTGTACTTTCTTCCTCACTGTGAACTCTCGCACATCTGCTTAACTTAGATGAAGTTCTCTTTCTAAAGCCAGTCTTGGAAGTGCCAATATCATTTGGTAATGCCAGTGCTGGCGTGTTTCTAACAACAGCAAAAGCTAAAATACACATTAAAGAAAATGCCAGTTTATAAACATTCTGAGGCACCATTTAATTATCAGATAAAACACCACATGGTTTGTTCACAGAAATTAATTGATCAGAACTGAACATTTTTATGCTCTGATTGATGTTATCTCAAAACATTACATCACATTTATTTCAATTAAAAAAGTGGATTAAAATCAGGGGAAAAATAACCCAGTAGTACTGATGTTATTTTCAGCTAGCAAGTTTTCTCCTGCTTCAGTTCAGTAGGTTCAGGAGACAGCTTCGAAAACATAATGAATTTCTCTGAACAATTTTACTAATCCCTGGATTTGATCTCCTTCCCCTATAAATTCATCCTGTAACCCCAAAATGCTAGTGCAGAAATGGCATTCAAATCTGGAACTCCAGAACCTGGAATATAGTCATAGCAATTTCGTTGAAGCCATGATGAGGTTGCTTGTATTTGAAGTTTCAAAACCTTGGCCAACGTACTTTTCTTTCCTGAAGTGACTTGCATTTGACATGGGAGTGGTCTGTACATGAACTACGACTGCAATCAGTATCAGTCCCAAACAAAACTGTCTGACAACAAAAAAAAGTGATCAGCGATAGAGAACAGCAAGAGGAATGACACAGAATAGAAACAGAAATACCAATTTTATAAGGTACAAAAACGTTCAGAGAAAAAGCAAATTCTTGTCAAAGTACAACACTATGTATGGTTAATGTCAAAGTGTATCCTGAAAGAACTGGGGCACTAAAAAGAAACCAAACCACACAATCTGCTACCTCCTTGTAAGAAAAAAACCCTTGAACACAACATGCCTAAAGCATGTGCTTCTAGTTCACTAGCTACAACTCTGATCAAATCCTGACATATATCGGCTATTTGTCTGAAATATCACTAGTACAGCTGTTACATTATCCACCTTTTAGCAGTATTTTCCTCCTTCTCCTGTGTCCTTCACTGTGTGCAACACACTCCCAGAAAGAACGTGGCCACCATAGATAAACTTACACGAAAAGGGCATTAGAGGCATTTAGATGACGTGTTTTCTTTCCCTTTCTTTTGCTGTACCAGTTGCAAACATCCTAATAAAACTAACAGTGGAATGGGTCTCATGTCGAAGGCTGACCATTTAACATACACTCTTTACAGCTTTAATCTTTGCCTTACAATCAGGAATTGTATTACAGCACTGTTGATGATAAAATGCTAAAGTGACATTTAGAGCTTTATCAACATGGGAACCTCACTGGTAAAGCCACAAATCAATCAACAAAGGACCCGGGAATGCAAGGGGCTTTTTAAAATTCGTAGTAATAAGTATGGAAGCATAATAATTAGTATGTTATTTTGAACCGCAATGTTACTTCATTTTCACCCAAAACTTTACACCAACACCTATTTCCTCTTGGGAACATTAACTATTTGAAGATGCAGACATGACATCTGTTGTGTATTACACACTAGCAGTGCTGGATTACAAAGGTTTCGATCTCTTTGGAGGAAAAGGTGGGCATCTGTTCTTCTGGGAAGAGTTACTATCACATCTGCAGACTCACTGGGTAAAGTACAGCAGTTTATGTAGTACCTGAAATGCTCTCCACCTGGTAACAGGAGATATCATCTCACCAGCTTACCCACAAACACATTTTGAAACTTAGATTCCAATTAAACTGAATACAAAACTCTTTCACATCCGCTCCTAAGCAAACAAAGAGTTTCTCAGAAATTACACAGCTGAAATCTTTGAAATTCAAGCAAAACACTCTGCTTGGGTTTTTCCACAAGGTGTTATCACAAAGAGCTCTTGTGGGGCAGGTAGACATAATTCTTCAACAGCACTTCAAAATATTCCAGAAGAGCAATTTGCAACTTAGCACCACCCCAATTTAAAGCACTCATAGCAACAGCTCTTTCATGAAAAACCACAATCTCAAAGGAAACAAAACACAACCCAGTAACAAACCAAAACAAATCACAGCACACCTTTTGGACCAGAAAAACCCCAAAACCCTTTTCTGGAGGGAAGCAGCCAAGTAGGCACAATAAAAGAAGAAATGGCCAGCACAGATGTTAGTGAAGGGTGATGGACAACTGAAACAAGTTAATTCTGCCAATATCATGATTCATCTTAAACAGCTGGGAGTTTTCCTCCTGATTTCTGTCAGAATACATCTATTAATTGCACGTGAAAATTCTGCCTCTTGTAAGGTAATCTTTTCCTCTGCACACAAAATCTACCAGGGAACTCAGTAGAGAATGATTCACTGAGAAAAGGTGACACTAGTTTTGTGGAAAAATCAATCATGGCCTCCAAAAAAGTTGGACACAATTGACTTAATATTTTCCTTTGAACAGAATATATATGTATTTTTTTAGATACCAAGGTAAAGTACCATAGTTTAAATACTTCCATTTACTTCGCAAAACACCCTCACTTCATTTTAAAGATGACTTCATTAAGTCCAAAAGAAAATGGTGGAAAAAACCCAAAGCAGACCACACATGGGTCTGTTTTCAACTTCCATATAGACTGAACAAATCAAGAAACAGCATCTGACCTTTCAATAAACCTGTTCAATGTTGATCATATGTCACAGACAGGTTTCCAGTTTTACTTCTATAAATTATGGATCATTAACTTTGAAGCATGCCCATGTGCAAGATTCATCAGATGCGTTTGGATTCTCATTCATGTCTTTGACCACATGGTACAACATTAGCAACAGTTCTCAATAACCACAAGATGCAGGCAGGTCAGTTCTATTGTGCTTATTATTACAGCAAATACTTTTTACTAGCTTAAACTCTTTAACATTCACTCCATCAAGTAACACCCCATAACTCCAACAGGAATTTGGGGCTCAGATTACTTACCTGTGAACATAATGCAACTGATGAACGGAATCGATAGCTATCACCATTTCAGCCAAATAAAAACGAGCCATGTCTTCAGGTAGTCTGTCCTCAAACTTGCTGAGCAACGTAAGCAGGTCTCCTCCAACATAGTAATCCATAACCAGGTACTATGGAGTGATGATGACAGGAAAACAAAGGGGGAGAGGAGGACAAAACAGTTTTTACTTTCTGATTCACTCTAATTTAAGTGCAAAAACTAATTTATTGTAAAAATTATTATGGTCATTAAAGAAACCTAACCAAGATGCTTAAATGTTCTGAAAACAGTAGCTGGCTCAGCCTCAATTCAGTATTTAACCTACTTGAATATGTTTCATATTTATACCTCTCCAAACACACTAAGCCTCGTGACAAAAGAGTATCAGCTTCATCCAGTGTCCCATCACTAAACATAAAACATTTAGATACTCTGGATTCCCTTATAAAAGCAATACACCCTGATACAAATGCAAAAGGAGTAAAGGGTTAAAGCACAGACCTATAAAAATGAAACCAACTGTGTTAACTTGGGATATTATTTAAGGGCCCTAATGTTCCAAGCTTCCCATTCCCTTTTTTCCTACCATCTTCTTTTCCCATTAAACAAATGATTTGAGTGTAAATTTTTTATACTAATAGATTAAGCAAAAGATTGAGAACCTTCCAGTGGCTCACAGTCCAATTCCAGACACTGTTGACACTGCCAACATACAATGGAATTAAAATGATGGAGAAAAATACGTTTTATTTCTGATTTATTAATGAAACATAAAACCTGCTTGCCACTGAAACAGGTGCAACGGCTTTAAAGAGATCAGAACCCTTCTCCATTTTCCTGTATTATGACAGAAGGAAATGCCACTTCCTTTAGAGACATGATCAAAATGACCGGAAAAAGCAAAGTGGGAAACTCTTTTGAGCTTAGTTTAGGTTGTTTTAACTGTGGAACAGCAACTGGAAGGGCAAATGGGGTAAAGAAAAAAGAACTGAACTAATTATAAGTAACAAACTAATTATAAGCAATCTCATTTAACACCCACTGCTATGACATTATTTTCAAACATCACTGTAGACAGACTAATTAGAATAACTTCCTACTACAATATATAGGATCTGAAAGCTTTTGCCTAGAGCTCCAAGCTCTGCTTCCAGGAAGGCAGCATATACCCACATCTGAAGCAGTAACTCTTAGTAGTCGTGTACAATGAATGGCAAGTAACAAAAAATACTGAAGATGCACTAAATGTATATCCCAATTTGATTCTTTACAATTTTGATAAAGCAACTTAAAGGGACTTTCTGTAATTGTTTCTCCTCATTTATTCAAGTCTTTACCATCTTCAGGAAAAGAAATTAAAATAGATGGAAAAATTCTGCAAAATTCTACCAGCTCTAAGGAAGATGTGGGGCAGGCAGGAATCTCACCTTTGCTTCTTTTCCCTTACACTTTCCATAACAATAAAGATGATGAACAAAGAATTTAACAATTTGCTAGAGAAAAACCTGGGCATCCTCACTAATTCCAAGTACATGTAGAAAGTACAAAATGTAGTTGCAGAGAAGTTAAACGTGCTGACAATGAAATTTTCATCTGTTGCTTTGTGACATGTATAGTAAACTTCTGAAATTATGCTCAAGTCGTACACAAGGCAAGTATCTTCCACTCAGCGGTGCTTCTATGCTCCCTCTGCAACAGGAGCTACACTATTAACTTCTCATGTTTTAGAGCTTTACAAAATACATAAAGCCTCAGGCACTCAACATAACGATTATTAACTGATACCACATACATAAATCTGCAGGAGCTTAGCTTATTGCTTTCTAAGTATATTGGAAAAACCTCCTAAGACTCTCATTACTGATGTGGAATCTCTGCACTCATTCTTCAGCGTTTTTAAAACCAGTACAACTCTATACTGGATATATCAAACCAATGGAATTTTGCTCTATTTTTTTTCCTCTGCTCCTCCCATTTTACAAGAGCAACACAATAGCCTAATGACAAGGAAACCTTAAACTCCTCAAATATGCTAACACTTAAACTGTAACTCACAGTATTGAGCCATACACTTGAAGTTAGAGTCAAAGCAAAGTTTAACAACTGTATTGTTACTACGCAATTCAGTCGATGCATAGCAACCCATCCAAATATCCACGCCATTTAAAAAAAACGGGTTGGGTTTGGTAGTCAGGTTTATTTTAAAGCTTTAAAAATACTTTCTAAAGGCAAGCAATCATCCAGACCTACTCAAGTCTTAAATACTTCTCAAACACTACTGTGTGACAGCACCATCCTTCCAAGAGAAAGAAAAAGATCTAAGGTCACTACATTCTAGTAACGACTGGAAGTTTAACATGGGCATTTAATCCTAAATCACAGGCTTGTTTAAGTTGGAAGACACCTCTTGAGATCATCTACTCCAACACCAACTGCTCAAGAAGGGTGAGCTAGAACAGACTGACGAAGACTGTGTCCAGTTGAGTATCTCTAAGGAAGAAAACTCCACAACTCCTCCAGGTAACATGTTTCAGTGTTTGACCAGCCTCATGGTAAAAATTGTTTTCTTGTGTTCAGAAAAAACTCCACGCTTTTCTAAGTTTGTGCCCATTGTCTCCTGCCTTGTCTCTGGGCACTACTGAGAGGAATCCGGCTCCCTTGTTTTCAGTCCCTCCCATCAGGTATTTATATACATTGCCAACCCTTCCCCAGCAACTCTTCACTTCTTTAGGCTGAAGAATTCCAACTCTCTCAGCGTCTCCTTACATGAAAGATGCTCCAGTACCTTAATCATCTTTCTGCGCTTGCACTGGACTCTACCAGTAGCTCTATCTCTCTTTTGCACTCCAGAGCCCAGATCTGGACACAGTAGTTCAGATGGAGCTGCCCCAGGGCTGAGCAGAGAGGAAGGACCTCCGCAGACCCAACACTCTTCCTTTACAGCCCAGGATGTTCTTGGCCCGCTCTTGCTGCAAGGGTCCATTGCTGGCTTATGGTCATCTTGTTATCCACCAGGACCTCAAGCAAAGGTGCTTTCCAGCCAGTTGGCCCCCAGAACATACTGGCTTTATTTTATTCCACTCCAGATGCAGGACATTGTGTTCCTCTCTGCCCAGTTCTCCAGTCTGTCAGAGTCCATCTGAATGAAGGCACAGCCATCTGGCCTATCAGCCACTTTTCCATGGTTTTTATCATGTGGGAACCTGCTGAGCGTGCACTCCACCCCACTGCCCAGGTCAGTAATGAAGATGTCAGCCCCAGTATTGGGGGTACATCATCACTGACATTCTCCAGCTGGACTTTGAGTCACTGATCACAACCCCCTGGGCCCAGCAGTTCAGTCACTTTTCAGTCCACCTCACTGATCCTTACCTAACACATACTTTATCAGCTTGTCTATGAGGGTGTTATGGCAGAAGGTGTCAGAGGCAATACTAAAGTCAAGGTAAACAACATGAACTGCTTAACCATGTCTACTGTTCAATGTACTCAGATTTTCTTTTAAAGGTCACTTCTGTAATATTTAATTTTAACAGAAAGCACACACAGAACTAGTGATACAGTCACACTAAAATGATGGAAAAATAGCATTACTGATATATTTCCCAGCAGGCTGCAAAACTAGCTCCTGTGAGCAGACCATCAAAGATAAAGAACAGAAGCTGCTCTGTGCTTAGTGAAAATAAGGAAACTGGCAAGATTAAAACAAATTCTAGCAGACTGCTGCAGAATATATAATATTTTCTTTGAAAGAGTGAAATAGTAAGATCAGAATTACTCAAAACATAAGATTATTTTTACTGTCCACATTAACAAAGCATGAAGCTGACTGGGAGGTATCTAAGCCAAGAGTTAGAGCCACAAGTGCAGAGCCCTGTCTCTACATAAACACCACCAAAATCTATGGATCTCCAAGTATCTGAGCTGACAGAACAGAAAGCAATATAATAGCAAAAAGCACTGCAATTCTGCAAGAATTCCATGTAAAGCACTTCTTTTATTGAACACACTGGGGAAAAAAAAATATTTTTAAGAAAACATTAGAACTTACTAATAAAAATTGAAAGCACTGGGGAATAAAACCCAAATAAGCAGCATCTATGTGGTTGTTTACTTTTCCAGGCATAAACATTACCAAAACTGTATCACAATCAAAACATGTATGAAGTCAGAAAGATTTCATGGAGAATTGGCACTATATTAAGGAGATGCTTTAATCTACATTTGCATCTTTCAACTCTTCTTCATGAACATATAGTGGAATTCTTTCATGCTGCAACACCCTTTTGTTGCTTTATGACATCTTACTGGGTTTATGTCCTCAAAAAAAGGACCAATCAAAATGGACTGTTGTTTTAAAACAAGGCTACTCCCTATTTCTACCTGTAAAACACTAATGGGCAATGTTAATCACAAAAATTAAAGTCAAAGAGAAAACTTATCTTAGATAAATGCACTTTCATTTTTATGAATCCAATGAAACTGGGGTGAGGAATTTTAAGAAAGGAGATGCAGACAGGCCAAGGTTTATCAACAAATGCAAAAGGTGCATTCCTGAGATATTTATAGCAAAATTTTAAAGGTTTCTGACCACTCTCCACTCTTCAGAATCTTATGCACAAAATCACAGATCCTCAGCTGGTCTGTACGGTGCAGAACACATAATTAACAAATAAACTGTATTTCTATCTCAAACAACAAGTAACAATCTGCATTTCCATCCACACAGAGATAAAAGCAACACTCACTAAATAGTTTTCATCCTGGAATGCATAATGTAACGTTGTGATCCACTGGTTATCCCCATTCACTAACACATCTCTCTCTTCTCGAAAGCAGGCTGTCTGAAGGGGAGAAAAAAATAACGACAGGCTTTAAGTAAAATAAACACATTGTGCAAGTTGACTATGTTTTAACATTTTATCTAGGGGAAAAAAATCAAAATTGACTCTCAGTTAAAAAGTCATTTACTACCCTCTCCAAACATACCAAAATCTGTGAAAAACTAGGTAACAGGGAAGTCCACCTTCTTCAAGAGTTGTACTTCTCTATATTGTTAAGTGATGTGAAGGAAGAAATAAGCTGTTGATTCCCAAGGTTTAAAAATACCAAGTCAAATCTGGTCTTTTTTATACACATAGATATTGAAACCAAGCATCAATAATGACACAATAGCTATATATAATAGAAGAAAAAAATCAAAAATGGTATTACATAATCATAACTGCAATAGGAGCACCAGAATCTGGAATCGTGTATCATTGTTCCATTTCTATATTGTTAGCCTAGTTTTACAGTTGAGTTTTCAAATAAGCAAGATTATTCTTTTATTTTGAAAGAAGCTGCCAATAACTTCCATGTAGAGCACATCTTTTATGGGATCATCATAGAATCATAGAATAGTTAGGGTTGGAAAGGACCTTAAGATCATCTAGTTCAAATCTAGATCAAATTGATGATCATTAAGCAGTCAGGGTTTTCTCCACACTTCCAGCTCAGGAAAAGCAGAACAGAATTGAATATTGCTCTTCCCAGATAGAAGCTGTTGATAAGACACCCAGGAGAACCTCCTCTCAATATGCTGCAAAGAAACACAAAAGGCAAAAGGTGCCTTCATAGCAAGTGGAACAGAGGAGAAGCAAGAATTGCCAAGAAGTGCTAAGGAACACCTAAGAGAAGGCAAAGAACACAGGTTTGTATGAAAACAAAAGAAGATGTAAAGAAAATAACCAACTGGAAAGCAGTAAGGCAGTTAATTTAAAGTGAATAAAATACCTCAGCAAAAGCAGCTTGACAGAAGAAAATGACCAAACAGTCGAAAAGCCAAAAAGAAATGAAAGCAAAAAAAATATGATCAGTGTTCTGAAGTAAACACCAAAAGAAAATAAAATTAAATAACAGGCACCAAATAGCAAAGCTAACATGAAATTTTGTTCAGAGAAAGGTCTAGAAGATAGTGTAAAAGAAAGAATAATAATGCCTGGGCTCTATTTAGAAGGCAGATGGAGAGTTTGAGAAAAACGTAGACCATGATCTCTTCCAGCACACTCTGCTACTTCACAAAGATGTTTCATCTATTTGCACCATGCTCTGTCTCTTCCATCTTAGGAGACAGCTAAATTTAAATGAAATCCAAGCTTTTTATTTTCTACTTTTTCATTTTCATTTCCAAAAACAATAGGCAAATACCAGAACTCTGACATGGTTTGTGCTGGCTGTGAGATTTGGACAGGGAAGAATGAAATGCAAAATACCAGTTTAGACTGAGCTCAGCAGTAATACATGCAGTAAAACCAGAGCAGAAAACTCCCTCCTCCAAGCAAATCAACCATACTGAGCCTTGTTTTGGTGAATACAGTGAGTAAGAATAACGCAGACGAGGAGAAAGAGAGACGATATATTTTGATCATAGCACAATGCAGGAGATGAATCATGCATTAAGTGAGTGGAATTTCAGAATAACAAAACATACTTTAAACAACCTCAAAGGTTATTAAATCACAAATGGACTTGTGGGTGGGGGAGGAGAAAGGATCATCTTCAGAAGGAAGGAAAGCTCCTCTATGCTTCAGCCTCATTTTTTTCTTTCCTTGTTTGTAAACTCTTGACGTATTTCAGAGACAGATACTACGAATTATTGTTTTCAGAAGGATGAATGACACATAGTTTCTCTACTTGTTATGACACAATTCACAGGATTAGTTACTAGAGAGTCTACAGAATTTCACTCGGGTTTGCCATGATTTAACAAAAGACAATGCATTCCTTGAGCACTCTAGACATCCACCTCCAGGCAGTATGCCTAGAGCTGACATCAACAGCTATTACCACAGCAGATCACAGCTGAGGTAGTAACAGCCAGAGAGTCTAAGTGATTATGGGGCTTTACAGTAATTTGTGGGGAACAGAAAAATTAAAAATTAAAAACCCCAACAGCTGTGGTTCTTGTCATTACTATAACACAGCTCAATTCAGTTTTGTTTTGTTTAAATGAAGCCTTTTTCTGTGCCTTTCATTATCTCAACATTACACTTCATCTTCCCTAGGCACACTCCTCTTGATTGTTGGCAGAGGTCAGCTGATGCACTCATGCACTCAGTGCTATGGTGGTATCTAAACTGTTATCATGGCCTTCAAACAGCAAAGAATTTGGGCTGCTCAGCTGTTTGGTGCTCATGTCACTACAGTTCAGAGTTAGCACCTTCCGGGAGTGCTGACTGCTTCCATGCTGCATAATTATTTGTCCTGGTCTCTCCTGAGCTTCATCTGGCACCACCATGGCACATATGTAACTCTAAGTGACTGTCAACACTCAGGGTAACAGGTTTGGGAGTGTAACAGAAGCTGTCACACACTTTCAGGTACTCCTTGTATCAGTAATGTTCCCACATCTCTTGAGTTTTCAACAGTGGCAAGTATGTGGAAAACTTACGCTTTTTATAAATATAAAGAGAACACTGACCTCGCATCCTTTATCATTTTAGTTTAACCAAGTTTTTGCACCTAGTTACTCACAGAGCTTGCAGTCATCAACCTTAATCTGGCACCTGCAATGCTTTTTGAGTACAAACTCCCTTTCTGCTTTTACAAATGACTCCTGCTTCCCAGAGTTGATACAGGGATATACGAACAACTTATTTCTGCCATTTATGTACAGGTCTACCTATATACTTGTCTTGCATTTCTGGTCTGGACGATTTTCCTGTGTATTTCAGTGTTGGTGCAGTCCATTGCTAACAGAGCCAAAATAGGTCATTTTCCTCAGCAGCAGTAACAAGCGAGATGCATTCAGCAACGTTTAAAAACCACAGGTTACAGTTGTTGAAGGTCATTCTTTGCAATGCATTTTCCCTCCAGGTGGTTCTCTTTCCACTGTATACCCATGGGTTACAAATACATGGAAAAACATAGCTGTAATTCTTTTTCGGCTAACGGTTCAGACTTTCAGAAACTCAGCTGGACCCATGGGAAGGGTATTTTTAATACTTTGCATAGAGAAAAATCTTTCAAACCTATTTATAACTGTATTTTAATGGAAAGGAATAGCTTTTTAACTGACTTTAAAAGGGTACATTTAAAAATAGAGTGGAACTTTATTTCTAGTCTTTTCTTTCTCACTGATATAATCAAACTTGCAGTAATGACATCTGTCTTGGAGAGAAATACCTCTTTGTATCAAGCCTAACACCAGATTGCTCAGTATCTGAGTAACTTCTGGATAAAGAGGAAGCACATTGTGTACATCTAACCACCGTCTGCATGCCATTTATAACTGTTACTGTGATAACATTTTCATTACAAGAGACAGGATGTGCACACATCAGGAATTGGCTTTAATTTGCCTGGTCCATACTTTTTTTTTTTTTTTTTGATGTGTTATGGTTTCCCATTGATCTCATTTCCTAACAAGTTTTAATTAAAACATAAATGTGGAAATCAGAATGAACTTGGAAGCAACTGAAGAGCAAGGCAGTCAGAGCAGCTAAGCAAGAGTCTCAAATAAAAACTGAGGTGAGAGATAATTCAATCAGACAAGTTGGAAGAGACACAATGATAGTGCTTGCCCTGTCCAAACTGAAGAAAACCCAATGGCCAAAGCAACTTTGTGTAAGACACTGAGTTATATTTTTGTGAGTCTATTTTTTTTAGGCAGTTTATTTTTAGTATGCCTATATGAAGAATTTCAAAGTGATTTAAAAAGACTGATACATGTTCTGTTTAAAACTCATACAGAAGTGTTCAGCTGTAGACTGCATTTCACAAGCTTCCTTCCAAAGGTGTCCAGGGAAATGCATCCAGGATTTTATGAAGAGTGGAGTTGCGTAATGAAGTAGGAGCTCAAGGCAAAGCAGGGCTGGTGAAAGAGCTTTCCACCTTTTTCAATACGCAGAATGGACTCAAGCTTGAATGAGGAACTTTTCATGACAAATTTCTGCAGATGGACATTTTCAGGAAACACACACTCAAATTAATTTGAAACTCCTATCTTTCTGATTTTTCACTCTACAAATTGGACCTTGACAAAGTTCTAACTAATGATAAACTAATAGGTTTGGTGAGTTATAACTAAGTAATTACCTTTTTATAGCTCAGTAATTTCACCATGGAAAATACCTGCTAAAGATGACATTCCTAAACTGGAATAAATGCATTAAAAGATTGTTCATACAGTCAGTAATTCTGGGGCAATTACAGAAAAAGTATAATGCCTAAACCATCCAGCCCCACCTCAGTCAAGATTCCATGCCATTTAACCCTTCTGATGAACTGCTTTAAGCTTATTTTAATCTTCATGTTGTCAGGAAGCAGTGAAGCACCTCCTCAATCCCTCTATATTCACTCTTGTGGAAAGAGAAGTTAACAATTCAGCAGAGTAAGAGGGGGCATAATTATAGAAAACATTACTGTCATCTTACTTCAGCTCTCTTCAGCATCTCCCATTTATTAAGTATCTTCATGGCAAAAACTTTATCTGCATTCTTCAGTTTTACTACTGCAACCTGGAAAAGAGAAATGAAAGATAAATAAGTTAAAACACGAAAACACATTGTTTCCATGTTTATGAAACCTGAAGTTCAATGAGTTCTTTCATCGTCTGTTGTCGGTGGCAGGGAAACAGTGAAATCCACGTTTTCTAGAGAAATAAACAGAAACACAAGCCCCCCTCCCTCTCATTGCTTCTGAAACATTAGATGCCATAGGCCTACAAAGTATTAGGAAAGTTGTCATAGTCCTTTTCTGAGAATACTGAACTTTTGTTCAGCTATAATAAAATCTACCGTGGAATAGCTTTAGGAAAGGAGAGCAGGGAAGAAGCTTACACTGAACGTTTTCACAGTTCAGGCTTTCCTGGGTACAGAAAGCTCAGTGTCTTCCCCAAAATGGCCATGAATCTGCCACATTCTGAGAGCTGCTGATCCGAACTAAACCCAACCACTATGCTGCCATCCCAATTACTGAGAAGTTCAACAATCAACACATTTTAACAACCATTCTCCAACTATCTCATTCTGCCTCTTCCTTTTCAAATACATATTAAGGCTTAAGCAGATAGAAGTTTATTTCTGTGTGTATCTGGTTACAAACCAACACATTGTCACACAGATTATCATCATCTTCACCCTGCAGGCCAGTGACAGAACAATACTACGGTTGAATCCTACATGCCTTCCACCTCTTTCATCATCAGTAAACCAGCTATGTGTGAAGACAGTGGTAACAGGAAAGAAAATACAGGATCAGACAGTTTGAAGAAAGTGTCATGCAAACCTCTTTCAACCATCTTCAAATGTGTCATCAGCTGCAACAGCTTCACAAATATGGCAAAAGCGCAGGCTGAAGGACTGCAACACTCAGATGTCTAAACCGAAGCATAGCTAAAAGCGTGGCTCCTGCTCAGCTACCGATTCAGAGAGGAAGCAGCTGTCACTTCCCATACGCGCAGCAGCACTTTATCAGCCCTACTCTTGACACTGCTGCTGTCTGGGGCTTCAGGGAGGTGGGAGTGGGGGGAGATAAAAAAAGGAGTGAAGGCAGAAAAGTATCACATTTACTTATTTAAACTTGTTTATGAACTGAAATTTTCAAAGGTTACTTCACACATAAAAATTGATGTTTGAGTCCAGAGTTGGGACCATGAAGGTACTTGCAGATTTGAAACACAAAACCAGATTGTTACTTAAGACTATAATCCCATTTTAGTTCATAAAGAATGTCTGCTATTCTGTGCATGGTACCCCAAGACTGAGCATCACAATTTTCCTTAGGAGGGAAAGATGAATTCTCTACAGTGATATATAAGCCACAATGCTGATTTGAGTCTCCTATTACTTTACTAGCTCAAACTAGCCTGAAACTCTGGTAAACCTTATCTGTATTGATTTCTACTGAGAAATGGCAGGAGGAAAAATCCTTAACATCAAACTAGTCTGTGTTCAAACTGTATTGTATCTGATATGACAGGAACCCCCCCAACATGAGGCAGCCTGTGGCATGAAGCTACAATGTAATTCTGCCCTAAATACCTTTAAAGATTTTGGCACTGTTGTACTGAAAGATTAACAGGTTGGTCCTAGAGCTGACTCTACTGCTGCTGCTGCCCAGCATGAAAAATGAGTTTTTCCCCACCATTAACTGTTGTTGTATGGGGAGCCAGAGGCATAAGATAATACATGCATTTCAAGTCCAACTTCAGGATTTCATTTCTCGCCTGTAGCATGCTCAGTGAAAGGCTATGTGATTGTGCAAAAGACTTAGTTACTGAAAGACACCCGTTTAATTACACAGCATTCACTTGGGCACAACCAAAAGAGCTACAGCACTGCCTCTGGTTAACAGCTGGAGCGTTCTTCAATGATAAGATGAAGGACTTGGTACTTCTGTGAATGTGTAATAGAATTGAAGAGTGACTAAAGAACAAAAATAGATTCATGTTTACCAGCTGTGTTTACAATTAGTCAGAAGCACTCTTTTAGTCTATGAAAGCCATTAATGTTATTCCGTATCAATAACCACCACACACACACACAAAAGAAGAAGATCATGAACATCATCTTCCAGCCCTCAGCATCTTTTTGGGGGCGGGTGTCTCAGTGATTTTATGGAAGTGAATTCGAAAATGCTTATTTCAGGACTGGGATAGAAAAACCTGACACTTCAGCAACGAGCAGTCTGATGCAGTTTCTAACTGTAACAAAGAAATGTGAAACATGATTACAGCCCCAGGCAGTGTTTACATACACACACTGAAGGATACACTACACACACAAAGACCCAAATACACACAGAGTGCTGTTCTGATCTTCTCCCTTCCCTAGTGAAGCCCTGAAGACAGAAGAAGGGGTCATCATTCCTGTCTGGTTCTCCTGAAGTGTCTTGCCACTGGAATCTCTTAAAATTTGACTTTTAAAGGTTGGGGTTTTATACATTTATATTTTCCTGTGAGCAGCCCAACAAAAAATGATTGGTATGTGCTGATGTAAACATCTTGGTCTAGGCAGATAGGGTGTTTTTTTTCCCATCCTTCCAACAGTATTTCCCACAAACAGCACTACAGCCTGGCATGCTGTCAGACACCTTCTGCCCCATATTTGGCTACTTGTCTCTACAGTACACATCTGCACATTTCCTTTGCTTAAAAAGCAACAACAGCCTTAATCAGAAAAAAAAGCTAAAACAGAAGCTACTCGAAATGAGAAACACAAAAAACCCCACAATCACCCCACCTCAGCATTGGTTTTCCTGTTCATCAAGAACATGCAATCCTCCAGGAACAGGAAGAGGGAATGTCACTGTTCATAACTGGATGCCAAAATTCAGGAGTAACTAACTAGTTCTCAGAGCTACAAAATTCATCATCTTCAAAATATCAACAACATAATGACATAGTATTTGCTGGCACAAACAAGCACTGAACTTTGGGGGTTTTTAAGCAATAACAGAATGAATTGTAACCTTTGGTATTACCTAGAACCTGCAATAAGCTGTCCTTTCATACTGCTGAGAGCACCACCAAGAGCTGTTGCCCAATGGCTTCGCCTTTCCTCACAGCTTTCTTCAACTCCCAAGTATCAACTCACCTTCAGTTATGTTTTTCAAACCATGCTGCCTGAAGCCAGCACAATGAAACACTCAATACCTATGTTTTTAATTTTACCAGGATAATCCTCCAAGCAAAACATTTGTGTTTTCTGAAGAGTCTTATATAAAACCTGAAATAAGTAAACGTACGCATGCAGTGGGAAGGGTAACATCATTAATATGACAAAAAGGAATCATTCTCAGACCATCAGCAAGTAGGGTTAAGGGGAAAAAGGAAACTAGGAACAACAAACTCTCACAGTTTAAGCAATAACCAGTTTGAACTACTTTGTGCTACATCAAACTTGCAAAAACAAAAAGAGAAAGATTTCTTGACTATGCAAATTGAAGAAATTGAGTAGCATAAAATCAAAATAAGAACAAGTCGAGGCTGTGCCAAAGAAAACTTGCACCAACTTTGTAGTCTACAGTTTCAGAATTATGTTGATTCAGGAGACAAAAATTACTCCTCCCAGTAACCTAGAGCAACCTTGGTCTCATTTATAGTTTGCTGGAAAGAAAATACATTCTTCCATATTTCTTAATCTGTCTCAGTAAACCAACTGTAGGTTACTGAATCATACACATGTTTTGCAATTTAGTATTAACATAGCTTTCGGTGGCTTAAGTAGCAGGAAAATTTGTTGGCCTTTTTTATAACATTGCTTAGATATTTACTGGTTATGTTAAGGAAAAATGAGTAATTTCATAGAGAACTTGTTTTACGGACAAATGTCTGTGTAGGACTTGAAAGTTGTCAGGGATGCTGGGGAGGGACTCTTCATCAGGGACTGTAGTGACAGGACAAGGGGGAATGGGTTCGAACTAAAACAGGGGAAGTTCAGGTTAGATATAAGGAAGAAGTTCTTTACTGTGAGGGTGCTGAGGTGCTGGAACAGGTTGCCCAAAGAAATGGCAAATGCTCCATCCCTGGAAGCGTTCAAGGCCAGGCTGGATAGAGCCTTGGGTGACATGGTCTAGTGTGAGGTGTCCCTGCCCTTGGCAGGGTGTTAGAACTGGATGATCTTAAGGTCCTTTCCAACCCAAACCAGTCTGGGATTCTGTGATTCTTTAAGCTGGTTAGAAAATTTTACATATATCCTTGCAAATATTTCTAAGTGCTACTTCAAGAATATACAAACCCAAACGTCTTCGATGAGAGGACTTCAGATTTCCCCTTGCTGAAGATTTACACAGCTGAGTCAGGTTATCTTTCTCAGATAAGGAATTAGAAAGAGACTAAAAGAGGAGAACTAACCAATTGCACAGACTGTGCCCAGAAGAGAATGGCGAAAGTTACCCTCTCACTGTTCATGGGATGATTCACCACAAAGAAGCTTCCTGAGAATGAACTACAGGGTTTTTGTGGTTTAGCTCCTGTGGAGTTTGATGCTGATTTAGCAGACAAAAATGACTTCTCTTTAAAACACAATATATAGCAGGTCTCACATGATTCTTCTCACAAGAAAGTACCCACATCAATGACTTTTTCTACACCTTATACAATCTATACATGCGCTCAGCTGCAACTGAGAAAAGTTCATGTTTCAAGCAGAAATGTTTACATCAAAACGGAGAATGCAACATTCTTTGTGGCAGAGGTTTAGACTAAAGACAATTATCCATGAGTAACTTCAGCCTTCTTTGTAAAGATGCATTACTCCAGAGGGAGCAAAACCAACCAGAAGTGTTAAGGTAGCTGAGTAAATACTGGTTTTTTAAAGTTAGTTGCCCAAGGATGATATCTGCATATGACACACACTACAGTAAAAATCCGTGTTCCTTACATACTACCTATGGAAGTCTGTTCTTCCATAACCACAGACCAATTTTCACACATGATGGGAACATCTAAGTGAACCTGAAACTAACTCTGTCACATGCCATAGAGTCTCCAGAAATGCTGTCATATCAAAGAACTGGGAAAAAATAAACCCAAAAAACCAACAAACCATTTCCAGCTCCAAAATCAATTAAGATACCGCTCAGAAAATGTTTTTTGTACTTTGGGTTTCAGTCCATGCATATTTTTCAGGCAGTACAGAGAACCTTAGCAGCAGGTTTACATACTATCCCCATCTGTAGTATATTTGGCTAGCAAAAATTCAAGGCACTGTTACACATTAGACTGCTCTTTCTACATACATAGCATCCTGCATGAAAAACAAAGCACATGCACCCAATATAATTAAGAAGGAGCAGAACGTTAATGTTTATTTATTCCAGTTTCCTCAACCTCTACAGTCTGGCAAGCCTAGTCTAAAGCCTAGTGATGAAAAGCCTTGTTTGATGACTTCAAGTAAGAGATGGCTTAACCAGAAGCAGCAAAATATGTATAGTTTGATAGCAGTAGGTGAAAACTGAAAAGAAACTAACAGGAAAACTATAGGAAAAACATTTAAAGATTCACTAAAAATAGAAAACAGTGACAGGAGAGGTTTCTCTGTGTTCTTAGAATGTCAACATCAAAATTTGGCTGTTCAAGTTGCTGAAAACTACTTTCAGACCATTTAGTTATTAGTATGATTAGAAATGGCTAGATCTTTATACCATCAGAAACTCCCTGGCCTGCTGACTGGAAAGAATTACAGTCAAGCAAATGATTTATTATCAGACAGTTGAATCCATGGGAACTTGCCTTCTCTCAAAATTAAAGACTTAAAAAGAGCTGTCAAAGAATGTATAAATCGAAATGTACTTGCATCAAACATGAGGTGGGCCTATAATATCCATTATAGCTAAATAATGTAAAAACCTGTGCATCAGTCTCTTGCTATTAACTGTCTCTCCTCAGTGCTGCTCAGATGTGCAAGGAGATTGTTCCAACCCTTCCTTCCACCTCCCTCACATACATACCTCCCCAAAGGCTCCTCGACCAATCACCTTCAGGATTTCAAAATCTTCTTTATGTAGTCGCATCTGTTTCACTTTAGATGTAAAAGGTTTGGCTGAAACAAAAGAAAATATCAATCATTCAAAAAGAACAAAACACAAAAAATCACCCCACTACACCAAAACATCGAACAAGGTAAAGAGCAACATAAAATAGATGTAATCAGAGCCTTGAAAACAACAAACCATTTTGCTTATTCACCTATATTCCATAATGTAATATAATGAAGTTTAAAGCTAGAAATAATGAGCAGCAAGAACTAAGCCAAAACTGCTGTGAGAAAAAGCTTACGAAGTAAGTTTGCTTTTGCTTCTTTAAAATTCAAAGGCTGGGGGGCAAGAGGGGATGGGCAAACAGTCAAGCTGTAGATTTATCTACGGTCTTATGTGCCGTTAACTCCAGTTGCAAAAGCAAAGTGTATCATAATGAGGAGTTTACTCTGAAGAACACTATTTTATCTGCCAAAGAGCGAAACAACATTGTATTCCATGAAAAATTCAAATGCTGCTGTGCGATAACCGGAAGGGCAATATTGGCCTAGATCATGTATCATGCAGTATTTTTGGAGATGACGTCTTCAGGATAGGGGACGCTTAGCACAGCTCCAGTAATGTTAGTGGTGCACTGGATGAAATCCTTTTAAAAACCTCAGAGGTTCCCGAGTCTGAACTTAAGTCAATTTTTCTAACATTCCCCAGATGCCAGGAATTGATTCTCTACCAGGAATCACATTTGTTATAATTACAGGAACGTCAGCTCATGGTTAAAAAATAGGGTTTAGGTAAGGAGTAAAGATGCAGCCATGCAGTGCTGAGGTTTTCACTGCAGTGATATTTTTACTTTAAATTTATGATAGTTTTATTTAAAATATTTAATTATACAATTAAAATACGGGTTTAATGTTACTTTTAAAATGTAATTTAAACAGAAGTGTATTACTCAAGTTCTCTGAGATTCCCCAAGCTTTCAATTCATGTTTTACATCTTAAAAGAAAGGTCTTGCAATAGAAAAAGGAAGCAACAATAGAATGTACAGCCTTACTGGGACAGCCTCAGCTGTACTGTACAAAGTGATTTAATACAAATATTAATACTACTGGACAAATTAGAGCAAACCATTCAAGCCTTTTAACTTGAAAAACAACTGATTGAAAACAAACTTGTAGTTCTCAACATTTTTTGACCATTATAGGCCTGGCTAGATTACAAGGCAAAGTATCTTGTTAACAAGCACCAGCATAGCTGTTTAAACCACAAAACTCTCCCTCCCTTTATATTGTAAGGAAAGGCCTGTCATTCTTTAATTATTACATTTTGAAATCTTCCAGGGTTCCCATAGGGACACTGGAAAAACAAACATCATTATAAGTACTTCAGTAAAATACAGCCGACAAAAATAGGTTTGGATGAGGTTTGTAGTGCTGCAGACTCATCTCTAATTTTTGTTATCACCTCTAGCAACAGAGATCTCAACATACAGCCAAGCAGTTTGATGAAGAAAGAGAAAGACAAGAAAGAAAATTAAGAAAATAAAAAAATAAGAACTGCCCTAGGAATGTGCTCCAAATAGCTTGTTCCATAAAAGGTCAATTTGCTTTATCATCAATGTTGTTTGTCTGCTGTGCAAACATCTGCCGTTCTTGTGGCAACAGCAATCTTAAGTACAGAAAACTTGGCCTGGCCAAGGGTCTTGGAAGGCAGATCTTCAGACAGCCGCTTCATACATCCAGCTTTCCAGACTATGAGGTTAACAGGCAGACTTTTTGCAACTACTTTGGCAATGTTGTATGAGCTGTTATGAAGACAGCAAATGGTAAGGTCAGGGAATGGTTTTCAAAATGTGATGTGCTCAAAAGGGGTCCCTGCAACGCAGCTCTGCTAAAACATTCCAGTAACACAGCCCTCCCCTGCCCACGTCCACATCCCTCAAACAGCATCATGTGAAGTTAACAGGAAACAACATTCTGTTTCAGAAGGAGCTGCAGTTTCCTTGACTGTTGATACCACAGTGACACACTGTCTTGTTGGGCACTTCCTTTGGTACTTCAACCTACAGAAATACACAGAGGGATACTGATTTTTTTCTCCACACAGACATCTCTCTTCAAGGTTGCTAGCAATGTGTGATAGAGATCAGGGACCAGCAGTCTGCTGTGCCAAATTGAATTCTTCCTCCTCCTAATCAGAGGGTGAGTGTGGGCAGCACATCCTGCGGCTCCTCCTGGACTTTTAACTCAAAAAAACCAGAATTCACCATATAAAACTTCCAAATTTGCCAGTGTGTTCTCTGTGGCCACAATCTCACAAGTCATACATACAGTCCACAGAGAAGGTTACTCTGAAAAACATTCTACGTTGCTATCAATCCCTGTGGAGGGGGTATTGGAATAATCTCCCCAGGGAAGTGGTGGATTTCCCAACAGTGGACGCATTTAAGATTCAACTGGACAGGTGCTGGGACATCTAGTCTAGGTCATGCTTTGCCTAAAGAAGTTGGACCAGATGATCCATGAGGTCCCTTCCAACCTGTCTATGATAAGACTTTACTTATAAAGGCTGTTCTACAAAAACACTGGCCACCCACCTGGCCAACACCTCTAATCTCAACCTACATGGGAAAATGCCACCACCACCCTCTTGGCAAGATTCACTGCACTTGCTCAATTACACGTGGCAAGAAATCCCTATCTCCCAATTCACCCTCAGGGGTAATCCATGTGCAGAAGTAGCAAGCTAAGCTGTTTCTCCAAACAAGGTGAACCTGTCGTGACTATTCCTTCAGGTCTCTATCAGTCTTTCCCCATGTTTTATGTTGTAACTATTCATTCCATTTATGCTTATAATACATTCAATTAAAAACAGTAAAAGGAGAACTATACAGCTGTTTGAAATTTAGACTTTTTTTCCAGTTGAAATCTGACTAGACCTTCAACTGAAGTAACATGTTAAACACATAGAAAAACAGCACAACTGCAGCTGCCAAACTAGGCGCAGAGAGGAGCACACATTCCACCCCCAGCCCTGAAAAGGGACGACTTTGTTACTACTGTCCAACAGAAGAGAGGCAAAACAACGGGTTCTGCAGAAATGACACTGAGCTTCAACAGTCTGTTTATCATATTTAGGGGGAGGAAGCAGTTACCAGCATTACTTACAGCACATTTAATACCAAGGGGTTTAATTTTAAAACTCTTGGAGATAAAAGTCCATCGCCTGAAGAGCTGACTCAGAGAGGACAGCAACACGGTTGATATAACCCAATGCAGTTTAGAACTGAGATTATACACGTGATACCAAACAACATCAAAACAATAAAACAGCAGTACTGGCTGCTTTATTTGCAAAGTTAGTCTCATGCTCCTGGCTCTGGGCTCTCTCCCTCCAGCTCCCAGTTTGTGTCTGCAGAGCCTGGGCAAAGCTAGCCCTGACATTCAGATTTCTCAGGGCTAACCTGCTGGCTGGGAGCAGGAGAGCTAGTGGTGAGCTTCTTCCTTTCTCCTCCCTCACCTCCTATAGCACGCTTTGCTTCTACAGCAAAGCAGTGCAGCAAACCAGAGCTGCTGTAGGCATGGCTTGAAATCCAACTTAAGTGAGATGAAGCTCATGTCGACAGTTTAAAAGAAAATGATGCAGACCTGGAGCAGCTACTGAAATGGGTCCTAACAACTGACTTAAATAGAAAACAAAACATAATAGGACAGCGCTCAGGAAGTCCTCGTGGTCCCTCACTGGTGCCATTGTCGCTTTTTTGACAAACAGGCTGCCTAACTCAGCTCAAATGGAAGACCAGATCTTCAACTGGCAGGTCACTTCCCAAAGGAATTCTAAAATGTGATCCAGCTATTGCACAGCAAACCAAGCCTTGTGCCCACTGCATTGTTCAGAGTAGAATCCTGTCTCAAGCCAAAGATACAGAAATTAAAAGCTGTATCCACCAGAATCGGCAACAGCAATTGTGAAAGTTCACAATGAAGGAAATAAGATTGGAAAAGAAAACAACCAGCATAGGAAACCAGCTGCTTGCGATTTTGAGGCAAAAACCCCTTTCCTTCACTGGTTAAAAGGAATTATACAAATACATACAGAGCTTTCCCACGCATCTAACTTAAGAGACTGTCACTTCAGGGAACACCAGAAGGCTCTCTAGTTCTTCCTAATGCTGTCCTTGAAAAAGTAACAATATTTTTTAAAAGAGACCAAAGCAAAATAACCCATCTATAGCTTTGTTTTTAAAAAGCATTCTCCAGTTTTGAAATTTCTGCTAAATTCCTGGAAGGAATTCAACAAGTGTTTTCCTTCTACAGGCTCAGTCCAACCCCAAAGTATTTCTTCCACTGGCTTCTATTAGTTGTAATTATGAAATGTGTAAATAGCATTTTTGAGTAAAGACAGACCATAACTGGAGGATTCAGAAAGGAGGTGTGAGAGAATACTCCTCCCAAAATAAACAGTATTTCTCAAAATGAAGGAGAAATCATTGACAAACAGCAAGGCAGAGCTGCTTAATGCCTCATTTAATTGAGGAGATGGAAAAGAAATATCTTCCCTCCACCCACCTAAGGTTGGCATAACAGTCCAGGAAAGCTTTGTTGCAGTTTCTGCCAACTCTCTGGAGGAAACCAGGGGCAAAACACTGTAGTCAATGGGGATAGCAGCTGAACCACAGAACATTAGTTAAGGCAATGTAAAAAATATAAGCCATAAATACCATTCTCAGTTTTAACAGTTAAGATTCAGTTTTTACTCCCTCAGAACATTTTTAACATGTTTTTCCTGATGAATAGTTAAGTGCCAACATCTGTAAGTACAAGTTAAGAATCTGGCATTTTCCAAGAATGAGAAGCATGTCCACAAATTCCTGTACTATGGTATGGACACAGTATTCTGGATCTTATTCATGTCTTTGGCTACAGCTCCCATGAAAGATTCTTCAACAGGAACTTTAAAATCTGAGAGAAATAAAAGATCTTTCCTGAACATATGAGAGTATGTTCTGGTTTTCCCTCCCCAGGCTCAGATGAAAAATAAGCCCTGCATTCATGAAACACCCACTGC